ATGGGTATTTTAAGCATAAAAAATTTAAATAATCCAGGGACCATCAGGAGGCACAGTAGATAGTACGAAATTTTAAGTATCGATTCAGATAAGAATCTCTCACCCTATTCCCTGTTACAGTAATCCATGTTTAATATATCAATAATCGTGTGTTTTATGAGAATTAGAAAAAAATTTACAATAATTACATGTCACTAACAGAGACAAAACTGGTCAGTGTATAATTCCCCTAATTTATCTGTGTTGCCTATTTATTTTTTCTATACTACTTAAATTACTTATTGTTCCGCTGTGTGCTTTTAATTATTTTCTCGTTCATTGATTGTTTAATCGTTATTTTTATCTGTTGACTGATTTGAAATAAATGCACTGATTTCGTTTATTAATTGTTAAGGTATGAAATTGTATTGTTAGTTTAAATGTTATTTAATTGATCTGTGAATATGAAATGAAATATTGGTATACGATTGGTGGTTATTTGATGATAAGAATCTAACTATGAAAGGCTTACTAAGTATCCTGAAAAAAGGTGGACGGACCCGATACATAAAAAAAATTCTACCGTGGACATTATCTCAGCCGAACAGGGCTGAGAAGTCCCATACCGGAAGAGTTGGAAGATATATTTCACCCTTATACCGAATAGAATATCGAGACGATGGTGTGTTTGGCATCCATTATCAGATGGGATATGAGGACAGCCGGACAAATTGACAAATTTAGATATTAGGTTTACGAGTAGGAAAATATCTATATGAACCCCTAGGAGTTCCCATAAACAGGTAAAAAAAAGAGAATGGTCGTTCTTAATCACTTGTATATGGAATTATAAATGTTATACGAGTATTTGTCCTATAGGTTGATTTCATAAAACTTATAACAGTAAATATGAAAATAACATTTTGATAATAAATAAATTTACTTAAATTAAGGGTTTCATTAGTTGTTTTATAATTTTTTATCAATCTTTATTTTTTGTATCAATTATTAGTGTGATATTTTTAATAAGTTAGTATAACTCACTTTTCTATTAATCATTTCAGATCAAAATGACTAAAATTCAGATCTTGATTAGTAAGAAGTTTGTGAATAGTTTACTTCCCAAACTCCTTCAAAAACTAATAGAAATTAACCCCTTAGAATATTTATTTGTTTGTTTTAAATTATTTATTTATTGTAAAATTGACATTCTCATATTTTTATTGAATATTTTAATTTAATGTATAAGAAATGTAAATTTTATTTTTATTGTTTGTTTTTTTATTTAAAAATATAAATTCGTTTTCTTTAAATTTCGAGACTTTATATATCTAATTTAATTTTTTAAAAAAATAATAAAAAACTAAAATAATAATTAAACTGTCAATATTTAAAGTTTTATTTTATCAATAAAAATATCTTATTATAAGTTTATTACATTTTTATTTGTCTCATTTTCTTGTTGAAATTTTAATTTATAAATACTATTTTATTAAATATTCATTATTATATAAAATTTATAAATAAACATATTTATAATTAGTTTTTAAAAGATTATAAATCTCTCTCATTTACTAGGTAAAGGAAAATAACTGTTGACCCTTTCATAACATTTGTGTTTTTTTTTTTAGGGAAAACTCTTTTATAACTTTGTGTTGGAATTATGAGGTGGTGGATGAGTTATTTACTACCAATACTTGAAAACGAAATTTTCAGGGACCTTTTTTCAAAACGAAATTTTGTTTCAATGCTTATTTCGTGTAACTCAGGAGTCGTAAATCGTACTTCGCTAAGATTTACCACATGACATGACATGACATGACATGTGCCTTCTTTTTTAATAATACGTTGTGTGAAAAGAAAAAAAAAACTTGTGTACTCCGTGGTGGGTAGGGGATGGACGGCTGTAAGGCCCAGTGTTGAGGTGACATGTGGTGGAATTTTTGGGGTGTATTCGAGCCCACGGCGGGTGACGATGGCTGCCTGTTGTCTCCTTCCATCACCATCACGACAAACTCCATTACTGTGTGGTGATACAATCACAGCCGTTAATCTTGACTTTAATGACTTGACATTCAAAGTTTACGTACCATGTCTTGCAATCCGACACTGCAATCATTGATCCTCTAAAATACTTTGTGTCCACAAAAAGAGTTTAAACTATTCTTGGACTATATATGAAATTAATACCTGTGTTTAATTTCTAAAAATATTTGAATAAAATTATTTTGTAAAAAATACTATGTGAATAATGTTTCAAATTTTCATATTTATTTTCATAAATTGAATTGTTATTTAGGAAAAATTATCATGTTACTCTCTGAAATTTGTCAATTGTTAGAATTTAGTTTACAATATTTTTTTGTTATAATTTGTTTTACCATTTTTTATTTATTTTACACTCTTTTTTTTTTCTATTTTTGATTAAAAAAAATTAAAACTGATTACACCGTATTTGGACACTTTTAAGAAATAATTTAAAAATTAATTTTAATTCATTAATTAAATTAATATTTTTAGATGTCTAAATATATATCATATCCTAATTAGTTTTATTTTTTTTTTCATCAATAAATAGAAGAATATGTAATGTTTAAAATAAATAAATAAAGTCAACAATTAATTATATTGTTTTATAAATTTAACAAAACAATGTATTTATGTGTTGAAATGAGACATCCATAAGCATATGATATAACAGAGGAGAGAGGCAGAAAGAATATCTTATCCATGTAATTTTTTGGTATTAAATTTTTTTTGAATTGCTTTTCATTCATAGTCTTCTTTTCATGTTCGTGTCTTGAATATTTGTCCTCTTGAAAAAAAACGAAAGTTAAAAATATATATTTGTACATTATAGCCAAGACCTTATTTATCTTGCCATTCTTTTGGTGTTTAATTTTATGGTCGTATTGGTGAAGAGCTAGATAGGGGATTTAAGTGTCCTGATCATGTATGTTTTGAGGCATACATCTTCATGAACCAAAAAAAGTCAATTGATGAAATATTTGAATACGAAATCCCAACCCCAACTGCTGAAAAAACCAAAGTCCTATTGGTGAATTAGCAAGCAAAGTCTCGTTACATATATACACTGATGAGTATGCTTCAACTAATAAATTAATTACCAGCTAAATAGTAAAAAAGAAATCAGAAATCTTTTTATCAATTAATTAGTACCCGTTGACTGTTGAAAATACACTATTTTTATACAGAAACAAATTAGAGTATGAAGATCTATTTCTTCTCTTATTTTTTGATTTTTCTCTTCATCATCCAAATTTTCTGTTTATAATTCAAGTTTAAAATTTTATTCTACTTAATGTAATATCATATAGAAGATTTTATGTGGACATAAGAAGAAATATCATATAGATATGGTTGCATTGCACCTCATTGACGATGAGCTGGCGGAAGACGACCTTCTACTAATAATGTTGAAATTGTATTACAACTCCCCTCATTGCCCAATTAAGAGATAGAGACAGAGAGACACTGCTCAGCCATCCAACAATAGTGCCATTTCTAACACAGACATTGTACCTACATAATCATCTCCTCCTACAATTAGTATGTCATTCATCCCAACAACTAACTACGTTTTATTTAATAGAATATATAACGTTTTTTTTTTATGAAATACATATTTGTATAAACTGCTTTAGTTGTAAGAATTACAGTGAAAAAGAATCTGATTTAATTTTTTTCACCCGAAAAAAAAAAGTATATTTTATTTATATTTTCATGCTTCTCTCTTTCTTAAATTACTGGAAAAATTATGAAGAAAAGAATTTATAATGATTTATTACATTATTACCGGATGATTATGATTTCTATTCATCTTCCTTATTTACCTGTTACATAAAGGGAAAAATAAAAGTATTTTTATACTAGTTTATGTATTTCTTTTTTAGTTTTTTTATTTATTTTATTCTCTTTTCTTTGATGACTTGTCTCTCTGTTAGTGTCTGTGTTATAATTTTGTTAAAGAGAATATATGTGTTTAATTAATATATAGTCGATAAACTTAAACGATGGAGGCTGAAGAAAAACCATTTTAACTTTCGTTATATGATTATATGTAACCCAGTCATAAGTCTCTTCATTCCAAGTTATCCATAGACTGAGACATCCCTTAACAAAAATATAATCTACCCTGACGAAGCACCCTTCAAAAAAGAAAAACAAAGAGAATGAGAAGGGACTCTAAATATAGAAAATTGAAATCTTTTCTTAACACAGAAAAGAGCAATTAATGTCACGATTACAATAATATTGCTGGATCCATTATTCTTTTTTTAGAGAGAGGGAGAGAAAAAAGTTGGGAGGCATTAGAGTAGGTAGGATGTTGGGATTGCTACAAACAACAGTGATGTCGAGAAGAAGCTAAAAATTGCAAGCGACAATCTTCTGGTCATTAATTAGGACTTGCATTTTTTTATGAAAAAAATGACTATAGTGAATTTTCAATCTGTTGTATCTATCCAATTGAAAGAATTTTCTCCTCCTGTTTATAGTTTTTATTTTATCAGCTTATAAAAGTCATGTTTTATGATACTAAAACTTGGCGCATATGGAAAACCATCCAGACCCACCACTATCCCAGCCCAAATTAGAGGTGGGTTGTTTTATGATGCTAAAACTCGGCGCATATGGAAAACCATCCAGACCCACCACTATCCCAGCCCAATTAGAGGTGGGTTGCTATAAATAATTAATATACTCGCAATCCATGTTCATTGCCATGATCTTTTGGGTCAGCCACAAAGAATCGAGGGTCCCTACCATTTTGATGGTTATTTTTTATTTAAGGTTTAGGTTTCAAGTTTCATGCTACATTAATGAAGAGGTTGTTTTAATTAGCAAATTAAATTTATAACTAACACATATTTCAGAGGTGATAGGCTTAAGCTAGACTTTGTGTTTTTTTTTTAACAAATGTTTTAACAGCGTAATAAAAGTGAGAGAAAGGAGCCTGGTCCCTTATTGCACATGCTTGTGTCGTTGCCACAGAATCCCTCCAAACATGGTGTTATCATAAGACAGAACCTTATCTATCTCAGTGCGCAAAATAGCAACATATGGCAAAAAGCCACTAAACTATAATCGAGATAGAGCAAAAGAGCTTTGGACAGCCATGGCTGCACTGAGATGCCACTTTCTTTCATCTTGTGGAAATGTCAAGTTCAGGCCACCTTGTATTTCTTGCTCAATGCAAAAGAACATCAAGGTAGCAAAATTCCAGAATAACAATCTTCTGGTTTCATATTTGAAAAGGGAGGCAACTAAAGTTTGCATACATCTTTAGGTAGTCATAAATGGTGCAGCAAAGGAAATAGGACGAGCAGCTGTGATTGCTGTCACTAAGGCTAGAGGAATGGAGGTTGCCGGTGCTGTGGATTCACATTTTGTAGGAGAGGACATAGGAAAGGTTCCATATTCTTTTTTTCTTTTCCTTTGATTATTGATCCTTTCCCTATCCTATCCTAATTTCTCTTCTTCATTTTACTTTTTCCGGCAACTAGTTGTGCGACATGGAAGAAGCTTTAGAAATACCCATAATCAATGATCTCACCATGGTGTTAGCTTCTGTTTCCCAGGTAATTCATTTTAACCTGTCGCTCTATCTCTTGATTATCTCTTCAAGTATCTGAAATTCTTGCAGTCAAAAGAGACAGGGGTTGTCGTGGATTTTACTGACCCTTCCACAGTCTATGACAACGTCAAGCAGGTATGGTGCATCTTCAAATAACTTCACTGTTCGTCCATAGAAACAGACTATACACCTATCGAAATTCTCTTCTAGTCTTAACTCGTATACATAAACCACTCAGCATCTCACCTCCCTTTTCTTTTCTGGCTTTCCGTTTCCATCCAGGCAACAGCATTTGGCATCAACAGTGTGGTTTATGTACCTCGAGTTAAACTAGAAACAATAACAGCATTATCTGCTTTCTGTGAGAAAGCCAGCATGGTGAGCTCAGGGTGAGATACTTTAGAATTCATTGTCTTTTCCAGCTGTCAAACACTAAATAAAAGTTCTATATTTCCCCATTCCCGCATAATTCTCTAAATATGAATCAGCTAATTTGCGTTGCCTTTGTGCTAGGGTTGTTTGGTTGCACCAACTCTATCAATGGGATCTATCCTCCTCCAGCAAGCTGCCATTACTGCATCCTTCCACTACACCAATGTAGAGATTGTGGAGTCAAGAACAAATGCAACTGTAAAGCAAAACAAATTTTAAGTTCAACTAACTATTAACATTTAGTCAATCTGCATGGATTTCTGCATTTAAGTGACACTAACTTGCTTAATCAACTACAAGACCTAGGCTTTTGAGATTAATGTTTGAAAAACAAGGACAAGAAAAGAAAAAGGAAAACATACGCATATTTTTGTAAGACTAGAACTTCTTACGTAAGCCCAGCCCCTTATTTAGTACTAAGGAAGAAGCATCATAACACAAGGAGTTAAAAGAATTCCTCAAAAATACTTTTCTCCTCGATATTCTGATCAGTTAATGACAAATAACATCTAATAAGCTGATGCACATAGCTATATATAGCTTGCAAAGCGAGAGTAATATATTCACTTGTTCTGTAGATCTTAAAATCTACACTCACCCTGAAGATATTGGCATGAAAGATATAGATATATTAATATATGACTTGCCTTTATACAATCTTAGCAAAAAAACTGTTCATACAGAGAATTGGCAAAATCCCCAATTCTCCTATAGATATATACTTGTGCTTGAAGCAGCAGAGGTGAGAAAAAACTTTGGTGCACAGGATCTTCCGTCACCAGATGCAATCCACATAGCCAGCAACCTTTCTAACCTCGGTCAGATATACAACAGAGAAGATCTTTCAACAGATGTTGTGGTAAGCATGAACTCAGAAATTATATCATACTTTTGCCAAGTGAACACCAACTAAGCATGAACTCAGAAATTATATCATACTTTTGCCAAGTGAACACCAACAACTAGATACCATTCTTTCCTGTGTTCTGATTAGGTTAGAGGTTCGTTCAGGTGCAAATGACATGTAAAAATAGGTGTTTCAACTTCCAAATGAGGTGTAAATTTTGCTTAAATGGTGCATTTTCAAACCTTAGAAACTGCTTTTGGCAGGCAAGAGGTCAAGTCCTGGGAGAAGACGGGGTTCGTGTGCACAGCATGGTCCTTCCAGGGCTTCCATCTAGTACAACAGTTTACTTCTCCCGTCCAGGCGAGGTCTTTTTTCCACACCTTTCTTCCTTCTCTTTCTTAAGTATTGACTTGAAAAGTTGCACATTTTACAAACATTATTCCATGCATTTCTGATCATAGGTTTACTCCATCAAACATGACATCACCAATGTACAAGCCCTCATGCCAGGCATGCTCTTGGCTATAAGAAAGGTTGTGCGCCTTAAGGTATAAAGCATATGCATAAATCAAATCTGAATTGTTTGCCTTAAGGTAACAAAACTTGCTTTGTCTAAGCCAGGTATAAACCGTTCTTACTGTTTTCTCACCTTGGCAGAATCTGGTGTATGGCTTGGAGAAACTTATGTAGAAGCTGAAAGATTCCTCATTGTTCTAAATAAAACATAAACTGTAATAACGCTTTGATGAGCAACCCCGTTCATCCTGCTGCAGAAAATTTAAAGGAAAAGTAAACTGGAAATTAAGTCAGGAACAGAAACTCTTTGAAGTTTAAACTTTATTAGAAACGTAATTTTATTTCACAATGAGATGTAATTGGAGATATTTCAAAAGATTTTAAATTTCTAGGCGTTTATCTTGAAATTTAAACAAGAGGCTCTTTGCAGATATCACATAATATAGTTCTTTTGAAACACAGATGCTACTACCAATTTCGATAACATATGCTTAGGCTCCAGTTGACAACTGGAACGCACAGTGCAATGCAGTTTTACGTTGCTATAATAAGTTGCACAGGGAAATAACACTGAGCATAATGGAAATTAATAGATCAATTACATATGGGGCATAAAAGAAACAAATTAATCTTTTAGCAAAAGAAAAAGGGAGAGAAAGAGAAATATTGAGCAATATTATCTTCATCAGAAAACTATTTCCTTCAGCAATAAGGAGCACTTAGAATTTCCTTATTAAAATTAAACTTACTATCTATGTTGGGATTTGTTCAACTGTCAGGTACTTTCGACACATATCTGATGGTGTCAAATGAAGAAGAATATGATTAGCGTGGAACAAGGTAAGGGAAAGAGTGATAGGAAAAGAGGAAGATTACTAAAAGGGAAAAGAATAAGTGAAAATATACTTGAAATTCAACTTACCATTCAAAGATTTACAACATAAAGGTATTTAAACACAAAAGAAATTAAAATCACCATGGCATCGCCAGAAATCCTCCAAGAAACAAAGAGACGAGAGAGAATCCCTAGATGGCGAGTGACCTTCCGTCTCGATAAGTTTAACCTAATCCTAATCTTTACTCTTAAATATGCCTCCAGGATTTGTGCCGTGTATCCCCTTTATTTCATGGATTGTAGACACGTAGCCCACTCCATCCACCTTCACCCGATGACCAACGCATACCCTTTTCTTTCTCCTAATTGTGCCATGTGTTTGGCTCTTCGTTTATACACCTTGATGGGTTTGATCTTTTGCCTCCCATTTCATCCTCTGTCTCATGAGCACAAACAGATTTCTTGCCAACCATCTCATTTTCCTCAGCATGGTCTCGCCTTGGTTCCCTGCTTCCAAAACCATTTTTCCCCCAGTGAGCTTGCTCCCTAACATCTACACAATCCATCCGGATGAAGAAAGTTGATGCCCATCAAAGAGGACCAAATCCATGCCTTTAATTCCTAAAATTTCAAATTTTCGCTTCCTTAGTAGTATCAATGGTGCATCCTATTGTGATTTGATACAAAATCAAATACCTGTAACTTTACTCCCTTTACTGATAAATTCAATCGAGACAGTCTCGAAAACAGTTTGATGCTATCTTTGAATTTTGAAAGATTGTGAAATTCATTTGTAAGTCAACACTTGGTTTAATTAGAAAGATGTCTGAAGTATAATAAGATGACAGAAAAACGACCTTATATAGAATGTTTTGTGAAATTTAAACAATGCATTCTTGGTTCTCTCAATTGACAACATCTAGAACACACCGTTCTAATTCCGCATAGAATTTTACATGAGATCACTTTTTATTATTTTAGGGCGTGTTTTCACAATATTCTAGTTGAATTAAACATGAATTTGCAAATAGATTTATTAAAATTTTGGATTTGCTTCACGCAAAACCTTAAAATATGTAAGTCTAATGGTAAATAGAATACGAGTAAGAGGAACTACTATAATACGAAGTAATCTTAGAATTCCACTACTATCAAAATATCTGATCACTAATAGTTAAGTGCTGAGAGAACGTATTTTGGGTGCTGATACTAGCTCATGTAGGAGAGAATAGACTAGAAGATCAGCACTGGGAAAACTGAAGAACAGGAAGTACTCACAGAACATGTCAAGAGAGATGAAACTGAAAAAGCTTCCAACTAAAAATGTTATCCATCTCATGAATGTCTGCTATTGCCTATGTTAGCAGGTCTTATTAGGTACTAGTTACAATTATAATAAGAAATCATGGCAATAATAAAAGTCAAAATGGGAAGTTACGAAATTCTAATAAATTCAAAATCTACAAAATATAGTTATCTATGATAAATTAAAAATGCTAAATAATAATTTTAAGAGGTCTCCTATCACTAAAAATACCAATAACCTGTTTCATTCTGCATCACCGAATAAAATGTTTCAAAAAACATTCTTGTGCAACTAAAATAAGAAGTTTTAATGCAGTCATTAACAAGAGAAAAGCTTCTAGTAGGTACAAGAGATATGAAAGAGAAGCAATTGGACAGGCCTCACTTGTTCATAAGTCTTTACCTTGGAGATGGTAAAATTATCTTGATAATATTAAGAATCCCCTCAAGCTATAGAACTTTCAAAGATCCATACAGATATCCATGAATCATTTACTGCACTGATCATCCTAAATGCAAGTACACCAATCCCCAGTCTGATCAACAAAGTATTTCAAATCTTGAAAACAATGTGAAGCCAATAGAAGATCACTAAAGAAAATTATATTCATGCTTGGAAAGCTGCAAACTAGGTGATAAGTGGATGAAACTAGGAGTAAAATAATTAGCTGCAGAACTATAGCACAGCATCATGAATGAGAAGAGATGAGAGAACTAAAGCAGCCTTGCTGCTGTATATTCCTTACTTGATTAATTCATTTAAATCATACATGTTCTCTCACGTCTGAATTTATTAGCAATGGCTCCTATCCAAGCTCTATCTTTGTCACTATACGCATACCCCATGCTTGAGGCAACCAGAACAAACCCTTCAGTCTTTTGTTCTTCATTAGAATTTAGGCTTGACGGAGCTCCTACCACTGTTTGCACTAGAAGTGAAGAAGTTCTTTTGGGAAGTATATTCGAAAGTCTAGAACCTGAATTATGAAGGAAGCTTCATTTTATTTGCAGATTAAATAATTTAAAGAACTACACCAGACTAATAATCAATTTTAAACCCTCATGCATGAAGCATATATAATCTGACATAACAATGCAGGAAAAAATCACATGAGGATGCAACAATGAGTTGTGAATCAATTATACACCTGAATTTTGTGGAAAATAGAATGTCTCTTTCAAGTCAAACAGGCCAATGTTTTCAATCTGTCTGTTGAACCAATCATGCAACTGAGCCTTTGAAACATCGGACGGAGTGTTCCAGTAGCCACGTATACATAATTTGCCTTGAACTGATACCATCTGAAAATTTAAGCCAATAAACATTTCGATAAGCTTGAAAACATAAAGTAGCTTTGATATTGATGTATTTTATAGTCTCTCCGACATAGACCAGCAGCCTGCTCGAAAACTTTCAATGCCTAACTCAAACAGAGAACAAAACAAATTAGAGGAACATACCACAGAGAAGGTGTTCGTATTGCGAAGTAGAATGTATGTTACCCAAGCCAAGTCCTCCTTCAGCTCATCTGAGATATCAGGTGACATGACAAAAATTTGCTCCACTTCTTCTGGTATACTTATCTGATTCACTGGAGTTGCACCCTGTAAATTGTTCGCACAAGAATTAGGGGCACCAGATACAAAACCATTAAGAAATGAATATTTAGTTGCTGGTAATAATGACAAGAGGATATCCCCACGATATAGAGTATATCCCAACACTAGAAGATGTAAAACATTCCAAAAAAAAAAGACAATTCTGTACTCCTATCTCATTAATGAACATTATTCGTAGAACAGGGATTTACTAATAACAAGAGTAATAAATGGATTTCAAAGACATATGCAAAACAGAAAAACCAATGATTAAATCAATGCCCACCCACTAATTTATAGATAGAACACTAAAAAACATATTATGAATACTATTGCATTAGTCAGCGTAACTGTAAACCAAGAAAGATTACCTTGAGAAATTTACCAAGATAAGGAAGTGCGACAGAAAATCCAGCCAGAGATAGACCTAGAGCCTCCGATCTCTAAGCAACAAAAAAAAAATGAGAAAGAAAACGCAAAAAGAAACAAAAACCAAAACCAAATTAATCCATTACACATTAGCTATGTTTGGACAAATATAAGAAATTCAATTGTAGTACACATTTGCTTTAATTGGAATGTAATGGAAGTATTATGTAAAAATTTAAATTGAGAAATTATTGAATTTTATTAAGAATTGAAATAACACATCTTAAATTCTTTTAAATTTTATTAAAGTTAAAAGTATATTGTTTTCAATTCCATCTCTCAAATTCTGTATAAATTCAAATGTACGATCTCCTAAAAGAATTTACATTTCTTACATAAAATAAAATGTTGTTTAAGAAATAACTAGTACACAAATTCTGAATCTATCGCAACATAATCCTACTCGGAAAATACAATTAAAACAGTATAAACAATAACTAAATAAGGATTCTGCTTTACCAGCTGCGGTACAGAGGTTGAACCGGAACCAAAAAAGTGGTTCAGGAGAAGAAGTGAACCGAACCCGTAACCAATCCATCTAGGCAAATACGATTCGTCCAATCCAGGTATCCCTACAACCCAAACGCACAACTTAAGATATAGAAAATCCATATTCACAGAGAGAGAGAGAGAGAGAGAGAAACCAAATGTAAATCGAAGAACAGAGAAATTGAGCTGCTGTTGTTGTTGCTGTTGATTGTTGTGGAGACGCGCAGAGATTGGGATGAATCTAGAATTGATTTTCGAGCGAGATGGAGGTGGTGTTTTCAACTGAATTACCGGGTTGAAAGACAGACTGCTCATTTTTTTCCCCACAGTGAGATAGTTGCCTGGGCAGCACTTGTCTGGGACGAAATGGACGACATGACAAATTATAAGCCCGTAACTAAAATTCGTACATCGTGTTGCACGTGATATTTTCTCTGGGACAGATATCCATAAATTACAAGCCCATAAGTGATCTGGGCTATGGGCTTTAGTATTATTTATTAATTAATTAATACAGTCACCTGATTAATTAGAATATTGATATTTTCATTGGTAATTATTTTATTATATGTTGACTCCTGCGCCTATGCCTATGCCTATATGTATATGTATATTTAAATCAAAAGGGTAATGCCTCTAATCAATGATTGAAAGCCTATCTAAAGTGAAATAGGTTGGCCCCTCTGGATCATTTATAATTTTTTTATAAAAAAAAAAAAATCAAAATCCAATTGCCTTTTTTAGTTAATCTATTATGTGTTTTTTGTTTTTTAATCTTTTAAGATAATTTTTAAATATTAAATTTACAATTCAAATAATAAGCGAATTTTTAATATTAATTCAAAATTTGTTATCATTTTTATTTTTTTCTTTTAACCTAATTCATGAAGGTGACATATTGAAAACTAAAACACACAGTGACTAAATTAATAATATTAAGTTTGAAAACTATATTAAGTAAAACACTAAAAATAATCCTAACAGTTAATCTAACACTAAATAAACTATACAATTAATCCTATTTTAAATATCAAAAAATAAGACATAATTTTTTAGAGTACTGACATTCTTTGCAATAAATCAATAAATTATTTAACGTATTTTGAAGCTCCAAACATTAATTATATATAGATAATATAACCTGTATCATTGAAAAAATAAAATGATTAATGATTGAAATAAATCTTGCATTATTAACTATAATATAGAAATACACCATAATACACATCTTTCATGCTCATGCTCAACTAGAGAATAACAAAAAGTACAAGAAAAATATTGCATGCAACCTCTCCGTAAAAAAATATATCAATCTCATACAATTTCACATATTTTCATGCTAAAGCAAGCCATATGTGAACTTTTTTTTTTTTCAATATCATATCCTTTACTTCTAAAAGCATATTTTAAATTTCTCAAGTTCAACTCCCTATATGTTATTGAAACTTCATTTATAGTCACTAAGAAAAGTGAAGAAAATAAATATATATGAATGACATTTACTCCTAAACGTTGTTAATTTGTCATATTCAATTCAATCAGATGTAATTTTTTTTTTAAATAGAAGTTTAGATTAACAGAAAAAAATGATATCGGAACGGATTCGAATTTATCATTCCAAAAAGAGTTCTTATTTTTTCTTTATAAAAGCAAGTCAAGTTCAAATTTAGTAAAATCCGTCTTTAAACTAACTTATTGTCGTCCTTATAAATGCATCTTAATGAGATAAAACATGAATCATGATAAAGGAATTTCAAAAAAAATATCTTAACTAGCTTTGTTAATAACTTATTAGAACATATAGTATCATTATAATTGATATTAAATCAACATATCACTCTAACAAAACTCAATCCAACCATAACATCACAAGCTTTTATATTTTCAATTCATAAAAAAAAAACAAAGATCGTCTATGAAAAAAGTTTACTATCACAAATAGAAACGTATGATAGCACTATTTGAATAACTAAATCCAAAATATTCATCATGGTTTATTAAATAAGATATTATTTATTGCAATATTCATAAATTAAAAAAGAAAACACAGACACACACACCCCCTTGACACTAATAAGAAATAAGGTTTAAGTATACTTTTCACGTTAGGCTCCACGTCAAAGCTTTCACCCTGCTTATATATTGGTTTATGTTCTTTATTATAGTCACAACTCTTTATGTCTCATTTCTCCGTTTCTTCCAATCGCCTTCCCTTCTTTGCAATTTTAACTCCCTTTTTCTCTCAACTGGCTTCAATTTTGTCTTCTTTCTTTCTTTATCTCTATCTTTCTCTATCTTTTCGAAGAATCCTTAATAATTTGAATCATTTTTATTCTTAATCTCTCTTAAATCTTCCTTGCTTCATTTTACTTCCTCCCAACTCAAGATCTCCCTTATTTGTTCTTAGATCTCTCCATCTAACTTTTTATTTCTCTTTAAAATCTATAACCTCATCTTTTCCACCATCAGTCGCATCTCACTTCCCATTAGTTAGAATGTCCCAAGTCAACCTTTGTTGATTTATGTTTTCAAATTATTGCAACATTGAGTTACACATGATTGATGGGGTGACTATGATAGTAATCGATAATAAAAATGATTGATTGGGTGACTATAAAAACTTAGCGCCATTTGTGATAACAAAAATGGATGGTGGTGATAGTGATAATGACAATAATAGATAATTTCGTTAGGATAACGACAATGTCACAATAGATGGTGACAAAAGTGAGATAGTGGTGATAAAATAACTATTGTGATACTAATGATAATGATGTCAACAATGATTGTGAAATCAGTGATACATGTGGAATAACAAAGGTGTTAGTTGGTAACAAAAATATTAATAGGAGTGACAGTGGAGGTAAGCATAATAATAAAAGTAACAAAAGTAGTGGTAGGGATAACGAACAGAGTGGTGAGCCTGCTAATATGTCCACACCCACTCAGTTAAGGATGAATGGATGGGTAAATAATAAAAAATACATGGTAAGCATACGCAAGAGAAAATATACTACTGTAGATCCATCGTAGATAATTCATATACTCTCCTCGTATTCATATTCATCTTGTCTTGTTTATAATTTCTAAATTACATTAATATATT